CATATTCACCAGAAGACAGTTTACAGCAAGTACTTCCCTCTGGACATTCGGACTGACCATCGGGACAAACGATGTTACTCGCTATACTTTCTCGTTTTGATGACGACATTTTCTTAACCATTGGTAAACTGCTGCTTCCTTGTGTACAGGTTCCGGCAGACACGTCACAAGTATATCCATTGGGACAGCAGTGTTCTCCATCGCTGCAACAAACAGCCTTTGGAAGAGGACAACAACCATATTGCCCTGATTGAAGTTTACAGCAAGTGTTACCTTCAGGGCACTCAGACTGACCATCAGGACAGATAATATTGCTCTTTCCTGTCTCTCCTTTCCATACTTGTATTTTGGTAAGAAGAGTTTCTATATCTGTCTTCCTGTCACAAGTTTTCTTTTCGATATTACATTTGGTATTACCTGGACAGCAATGAATTCCGTCATCGCAGCAAACAGCCTTGGGAAATGGACAGCAGCCCCAATCCCTTGTGTGAAGCTTACAGCAAGTGTTTCCATCTGGACACTCGGACTCACCATCAGGGCACAAGACATCATTCAGGTTAGAATCCTTTATTAATAGTTTTTTTTTCATCACAGGTATTTTATCATGGTCTCTGCTCTTTGATGCTGCTATCTTTCCCATTTTGACCGTTGACTGCTTTAAAAGTAGGGTCTTCTTGCTGGAATATTGTCCTTTTATTTGCTCCAGTAATCTCTCCAAGGGCTTCTTAAGAGATTTGGGTGATGTACTCGATAATGAAGCTACAGTATCAGAGCCAGATGAACAGGTTTTGCCATCTTTAGAGCAACTGTAACCTTGGGGACAGCAGTGTAATTGATCAGGACAACATACTGCCTCTGACATTGGACAGCAGTGATATTTACTACCATCTTGGCAACAGGTGTATCTAGAAGATAAAAGTCATGAAATAATAACTTAATTTGATTACAACTGGTGCTTTTGGTTTAACCCTTTAACTCCCACGAGTGACCAAGACAGAATTTCTCCTTACAATATCAATACAACCTAAAGGTGTATGCTTCTCTTTATTAACTGGCAAACTTATATAGAAAGTGAACTAAGGTTATGTTAGAATTCTCTGTTTCATACTGACTGCACGTTTTGTTGTGGCATCTTGATTTAATATTTGGAAAACTTCTGACATAGATACATGTACACCCCATTAGATTGTTTAACATGTAATACGTGTGAATGTCTGAGAGTTAAGTAGTATTCTTGCGAGCCCCTGTATGCTGTAATTAGTACGAATTATTTGCCCATCAATTCTAAGCTCTAACATCCACCCTGGGCATCCCATGGGCATATCGCTGTCATCCACATCTAGGGGGGAAGGGTGGGCTCTTTAAACTTTGCTGGGTGGGGTGAGGAATTTGACCCAGAACCATCAAGTCTTTCCAGCAAAATAACTATTATACCTTTTACTGTGGAGGTGTTGAAAGGGAAAAAGGTCACTTTTATGAGCAGATTACTCTTAAAGGTCCACAATAAAACTACAGGAACATTTTGGATGGAACACTGAAACAAAATTTTGGCCAGGGAGGGAGAGGGAGGGGGGGGGGAATTGAAGCTTTGAATTGATTAGTGCATTACTAAGAAAAGATACAGATGGTAGTACTTCATTTGCCTGAAATTTAAAATTTCCAACAGTCCAAAATCAACTACATATTAAATACATGTTTATTAAAAATTAAACAAAACCAGTGACTTTTATTATTTTAACAAGAACACCAATACACTTTTACTACTTTGATCTGTCTCCACACCAAGTATACAGTACAATATCAATCAATACCTGTCTGGGCAAGCATACTGATTGTTGCATTTTACAATTTTGGCCCCCGTGGAAGGAAACAGAGCAGCAACATCGTCTTTCCTTGTTTCTTGACACACACCATTTTTACAGGAGTAACCAGCAGGACAGCAGTGAACCTCATCACTGCCTGGAACAGAACAACAGGAGTGGAGAGAAGGACACTGTTTGATGGCACCAGGACATACAACAGCATCCAACATACCAATTTCATTCTGTTGATGAAAAATATACCAGAGTGATGAGTGACACACAGCCCATGAAACAAAGGGTTAATCTGCACTCACATATGTACAAACACTTAACGGTAAATTGTAAGCATACTTGACAAATTTAATCAATTAAGACCCCATGCATACTAATCTTGAGAGACAAGCATATAATTCCATTCTTAGACACCTATGTAAAATTAGTATGTATGAGCTAGCTGATTGTTTTCTGTAGTGTGTAATGGTCACTGTTTCTTTCAATGTGCATTGCATTTTTAGTAAAAACTGGTGGTTAAGCTGCACCAATGTCTGTCAATCGTCTTGAGTTTCTTTCAGCTGCATTTGCACATGCACTGCTGTGGTCCTGTTCACTTAACAAAAGCTTTTTGTCTGTCTGCTTGACTACACAGCCCAATATTTTTTTCATTAAGCCACTACTTAACCCTTTACTCCCTTACATCAATATGCATATTCTCTATACTACTCCCTGGACATTTCCTACGGTTCTGGCAAGGAGAATTTGTTCAATAATCCAGAGCTTCTTTAGTTGGTGATCATCTCTTTTATTCTCATGACCTTAATGTTTAATTCAGGGATGATATTGTAAGGAGAAATTAAATGTTAGTCACTCTTAGGTTAAAAGGTTAATGATTTTAGATTGCCAAAATGGAAACTCTAAAAAAGGTGTGCTTGGAAAAACTTAGGCTGGGAGAAAAACGACAACAACAACAACTGCACATGTCAACCATGAATACATGCAAGACAACCTACAGATCTCCAAAACAGTAATCATAAAACAAAGGGAAGCTGCCTATTACACCTTACCAGCAAACTGCACAAGCTTTTTTTCAACATTTATTATTTAAAAGCTTAAAGCATACCTGCTCAAGGATCTACTGTATGAATCATTATTTTAAATCTACTGTTTGAAGGTGAATGAAGGTGCATGAACAGTTCTTCAAGTGAACCATGGAAGGCTCTGAATGTCTTCAAATTGATTCTTACCATTGGTAATTTGATGTTAACAACTGAGTTGAAAACATAAATTGGCTATCATAAAGAGTTAAAAGGCTGATGTTTCAAGTGTTAGCCCTTTGTCAATTGCCCTGACAAAGGGCTAATGTCGAAACGTCAGCCTTTTAACTCTTTACAGTGGACAATTTACGTTTTCAACTCAGTTGTTAACACCAAATTACCTGTTACACTCTCCCACCAATGCAGCACCACTGCTTCTTTAGAAACTTAACCCTCAGTTCTTATCATTGTCTGTTATACATTTCTAATGACCTTGGCTCTGATAATTTGGTATTAAATCAAGACTAACATTCTCCATAAAGTAATGTTCATCTTTCTTCTCAAAATTAACCTCCCATCAGGACAATCGATAAATATTGTAAGGAGAAATTACTAACTGGTCACTTCTTTTGGTTGAAATGGTTATGAATTCAAAGTTGGTAGAGTTCCTATAATTGAATAAGTCACGATCCATTTTGTAATAATTCAGAGCATTTGCACTATTATGTATTGCTAAGCACATTAACCCTTTAACTACCATGAGTGAGCAAGTCAGAATTTCTCCTTACAATATCAGTACAATATCAAACAGATAAGTGATGAGCATAAGAAAAATATCAATTTGGGGATAATTAGTTGATCCAGTACTAAATTCTCTGTACCAGTTTTATAAGAATTATATAGTTGACAGTAAAGATAATTACAAATTTGATCTAGAAGTTAATTAAAGGGTTAAATCTAAAAAACAATCATAATAAAACTTACTGATGTGAAGGTTGAAGGAATCTTCTTGAGGTGAAGAAATGTGTTTTCTTTTAGCTCCTCAAAATGACAAAAGCTCACCTGGCTATACAGCAGTATGAACACTAAAGTGAGGTACCACTTCATCTGCATATTCAATAAAAAAAAGTGCCAAGGTTAGCAGAAATTTGTGGTTTCTTTAAAACCTCTGTCAATAACATTACCTAACTAATAGTAGGCCTTTTTTTGCTTTGTGGACTTGTCAGCCTTTGCATGACAGGAACTCTTTGAGATCTCAAGTTCATGAGAGTAGAATTTTAGGGGGAAGGGAAAACTGATTGACCAAACTAAATGTGGAGGAGAAGAGTTGAGGACAAACAGGACGCAGATGGGTAACTGGAATGAGTAACACAGCTCTAAAAAAAAAGTGGAGAGGTGGCAAGGAGAGGAACAGAAAGAAAGGGGGTTATTGTGTGCTTGCTGAGGTCTTGAATATGGATAGCTTTGCCTATGCCACAAAGGTCTGAGGAAGAAGCAGCTCCCTGAGACAAGCTTAGGGTAACTCAGGCTGGAAAATATGAAAATGTTTGACTGCAAGAGTTGATAAACATGTCCAAAAACATCACTGTTTGCTGAGCTGTAGTGAAAATGTTACTAGATCCTTGAGTAAAGATAATAACTGAGCCACTAAGAATATTAAATGATTAAGGTAAGAATACTTCTCAGTCTTAAACTAGTTTTCTGGGTAGATATGGAAACATTTCAACATGCCTTGTTTTGGAGGAATGTGTGAAACAGATCAGATTTCTATTGAACCATCCTCTGCTTCAAGAGATTTGGTTTCAAGACTTTGTTGTTTTAACCCTTTACCCCCTAACATCAGTATCCATATTCTCCATACTGTTCTCTAAACATTTCCTAAGGTGCTGACGAGGAGAATTTGTCTAAAAATCAAAAGCTTTTTTTTGGTTGTGATCAGTTCCTTTATTCTCATGACCTTAATGTTTGATTCAGGGGTGATACAGTAAGGAGAAATTAGATGCCAGTCACTCTTACGGGTTAAAGGGTTCTTGGGGCAAGATACCTCATTCTCACCATGCCTCTCTCTGCCCATGAGTATAATGGATACATTATATTATATCATACAAATGGATACATGTATTATACATATTATTTATATGAAATTTTGTGTAAAGATGACTCTAATATGCAGAATATAACTGAATAACAAAAAAAGACAGTACAGGTATAATTGAAAATGCTTTACTGTTACAATTTCAAATCAGCACACATTATTCCAGGAATCACTGCTCAAAGCTAAAAGCCATCAGTTTAAATGCTAAAAACTGTTTCTTGGGCTACCCTATCAGATCATTTCAGTTCAAGTTGAGGAATTTGCAATGAGTGACTGCTACAGTAAAATTCCCTAGCTAGTTTCAGTCTCACTTGTGTTCATATAATTAAATAAATTTAGCATGCATGTCGCAACATTTTTGCAGTGTTCAATATTTATTTAGGTGAAAAAGTCTTAGAAATTTGAAAAGTCTGTTAAAAAAGAGTACTCGTCAGGGACACATGATACTGAGTCGAAATAATCTTTCGTGCGTTCACATTTCCGGATTTCAGGATTGTATCAAATTTCTGTTACACTTAGACAAGCGAGACGGTTTCATTCCTAATTTGCATCCTAATTCACCTCATTTTCTATATTTGGTGTATTAATTCATGCTTAATTGAGAAATTGCACGTGGAAACCAACGTTCGCAACGATCGATCCGGCCAAGCGGAAGTTAAGTTGTAAAATGGTTCCTTCAGATTATCGACACTCGTTCGTAAGTTCATCGACTTAACAAATTAAATACCGCTTCTTTTCTTAGAATTTCTTTCCCATGGAAAAGCCTCCACTTTCGCGAGGAAACTATGGAAAGACTATGAGATTAAAGAAAGTGAAACACTTTCGCTTCTTTAAAGAGTTTTAGTCGTAAAAATTCCTTGCGGAAGTCTCGTGCATGAACTGCAATCAATCAATCCGAAGCATTTTGACGAAATTGCACAGAATGGTCTCAATATTTTAACGTTGCACCAGGAAAAATTCGATAATTGTTTATTATTCAGCAACTGCACACCCAAATTTGGCTCGGACAGAAACTGATGAACTTTTCATTCAAGACAGAAGGACGCATTCAACTTGATCTGGTGAAATCTTAGGGGTAAATTAACTCCCTTGTCCAAATAAACTCCCAGATGTGAAGGTAGTTGGAAAATGCCATTAACTTGAAATCACCTACCTTTCTAAAGCTTCTACTAGCATTCACCGCAAACCCTTCGGTAGACCTCCAGCACACTCACTAACAGGAATTATGTGAGGGGAAAAGTATAGTTCCAAGATTAAGGCATGTGAAAACCTCGTGACTGCAGGATATTTATAGTCTAGAGCCAGTTTCTCTCGTATCAGACAAAATTCCGTTATCAAGAATAGAACTCGTTTAACTTGGCAAAATTCACGCGAGCGAGAAGTTTGCCAAAATTCAGGCTTTCGACCTTCTTCGGTGCAATTCGTTGATGGTTCTTGGTCGTAGTGTTAAGAAACTCGACATAATGAATGGTCTCTCTGTAAAGCGTGTTTATTGTGCCGAAAACGAAGAGGGAATGTTGAAAATAAGAGAATGGAGTGTGGAGCTGAGACAGTGGGACAGTGGGACAGGAACGGGAGAGCAGGGAACAAAGCGGGGTACTGGGTACAGGATACGGAGACCAGCGAACTGAAAGTGAGGAGGGTAAAATTTACAAGGAAAAAACTTGAACAACTTTTGGTTTTAAGGTTACTTCCCACCTCCGGGTGTCCCTCGGGAAAAATTTTCGTACGCGCGCTAGTTTCACTAAATTCCTAGCAAAGTATACATCAGAAGAAAGCTTAATAACTGCAATTTACAATAAAAAATATCATTTTTCTTTAAAGTAAGTTTCGGGAACCGCTAAGGCGTGAAACGACTGAAGGTTCTTCTATTAAATTTATTGGGTATTGGATGCCGCGGGACGAGCAAATTAAAGTGGCTGCACAGTCTTATTCACAAGGCATCTATCAACAGAAATGAGTCAGGCGTTTTCGATATTCTGATTGGTTGTCTAGATATCGGCATCTAAAGTTGAAGTAGCTAAAAATATGCGAGGCGTGTTGCGTAAATGGACGCCACGGGACAAATATTTCAAATATCAAAATTTCCCGACACCTTTCGTTTGTCATTATTTCTAGAATGCTTTGGCGACATTTAACGAAAATCGGTCAAGGGTGCGTTCCGTTGGGAGAATCCGGATCAGGATTTCTGGTCTGTGGTGTTCCTTTCTAGGAAATCCATTTTCAGATCAGTGATCTATCAAATCCACTCTGGACAAGGATTCATCGGATCACTGATCAAACGATGGAATTAAAACAGAAGTATTGATTACGATATGGATACTTGGGAACCTTGAATGCCTGCGATCAGTGGCCTATCGATTTAACATTACAAAATCGATTTTATTTCGTGTTTATCGCAGAATTTGTGGAGCGATTCCCAACAATCTTTCCGGTCAAGCACCGCTGGACAAAATGATTAATTTCGGATCCGTCGTCCAAAGGAACGCGTTGGATCAGAGATCCATTCATCCGCCTTAGGCTCACGCAGATTAGTGATCTGATTGATCCTTGTCCAGAGTGGATTATATAGATCACTGATCTGAAAATAAATTTGCTCGAAAGGAACGCCATATATCAGAAACCCTGATCCGAATTCTCCCAAAGGAACGCACCTTAAAACTCCGTCCCTTTCATTAACCGTGATCTGTGTGATCTTGGATCACAAATCCCAATCCGGATCCTCCCAAAGGAACGCACCCTCGATACTCTATAAATTCGCCCAGGTCCGAGATTACGACATCTTCCTGATATATGAACTATTATTTGAAAATACGTTAGGTCCAGCTCAGTCAAATAAAAGAAAAATCGATTTTTTCGGCCTCTGAAGGAGGGATTTAACCATAATAATACAAATATAGCTCTTTGCACGTTATTCACTTTCAGCAACTTCAAAATAAGTGTCTTTTCTACTGGAGTTTCAGGTTCTCAACTTTTTCTACAAATCCTAACAGATATAGAGGACATTGAGATGAACTTAGAAAACAGTAACTTGCTAGTTCGATGACAAAATTTGCATTATTTTTTTTGTTGTTTAATAACCAAGCTGATGCAATGAACCTAAAGAGTAGTATTGTAAGAGATACTCACAATTTCCAATTTGAAATTCTTACACAGATTGCTACCAAGTCTAGAAAACGATTAGTACAACAGCTCAGAACAAACCAGCACAAGTTAACTACTGGTTGTAATTCTGATTGACTTTTAATCTGCACAAGGCAGAGAGATCTGATAGATCGTATACGGAAAGTTGAAGTCCAGAAATAAAAAATAGAGAAAGGAAATCCAGGAATTGTTATTTTGGAACAGGGAACCAGAAACTGGTCTATAATGTTCTATACAAAAACATTGAAAGAACCTTGAAGCAAGACGAGTAAGAAACTCTGTGAGACCTGGGCAGCCATGAACAATACATAGTAGGACAAAATAATCTTTCCCTTTAGAAATCATAACTTTGGGAAAAAGAGAAACCATGGGATCACTGTTTCCAGAAACAAATTTTATGTCATTATATCTAACGATACTTCTACCAAATGAATACACAAGCTGGTTAAATAGCAACCAAACTTGTCTAAAATCCTTCTAATTCAGAAAACGAGGAACATCTAGTCTGACTGATAACATTGTCTAGATGATGAGGAGCACCTTTGTCTGAAAATAATTTTTATCAGCCAACCAGTATCTTACTAACTAAAAAACTGAAAAAATACAGGATCAAACCAAGTAGTAAAAAAGCAAATCCACGGACAGGTAGATATGCATACGATTTGTTCAATTTTTCATAGAGTCTTTTCACTTGTGTCTCAGTATTCTCCCTGTTGGAAGAATTGTCAATGATATAAGATGCTCTACGACATTTTTCATCCAGTGATATCTGAGCATTTATTCTCTGTTCAGCATCATTTTGTGTGAAGTTATTTCTTTCCATCAAACGCTTCAGTTGAGTGTCTTTGTCACTAGAGGGAAGAGAAATTAGAATCTTGGTGATAGGGAAATTAAGACAAATGTTTAACTCTTAATGCAAAGATGTGAATATTTATGATCTTGCACAAAGGAACATGCAGCTGGAGGGGAGGATTATGAGAAATAAAACAAAATAATCAAATTAAACAGCTTATAAGGAAGAAAACCTGAGTTTGCTATTTCCTTGGCCTTAGAGTAACCCTTCACACCCTAACATCAGTATGTGTATTCTCCATACTGTTCTCTATACATTTTATAAGGCACTGGCAAGGAGAATTTATTTAATAATCAAGAGTTTCTTTAATTAGTTTTTCATGGTGAATATTTCCTGTGAACTTAATGTGTGATTCAGGGGTGAAATTGTGAAGAGAAATTAGATCCTTGACACTTTTTAGGGGTTAAATATATCAGATAAAACCTCTGTGACAATTTGATCATGTACATTGTATTATTGATGCCAATCACAATGAATAACCAATCACAGAAATCAAAGACCAAGGGCTCCTAACCCAATTCAAAATTCTATGTAATTCCTACATGCTTTTATATTCAATTTGCACCAGCAGTTATTTCGTTTTTGTTTTATTGTGACGCATTGTAGTAGGCCAAAATCTTAATTTCTCCAATCTGTTTGGCTAATAACATGCACTTAAACGCTCCTGACCAGCTATTTACAATATGGACCCCAATCCAGAATTTTTCTGAGCAAAGCAGGAAAAAGCAAACAAGCAGGAAAAAAAATGAGCAGATAAAAAGGACAAGGTATTTTGTACCTGTGTTGGTCCATCTGTATTGAAAACACATGCCCTTGGTCATGAGTACAACCTGAGGCTGAAGACTGAGGGCTGTATTCAAGGCTTTTTTTTTCCCTTTATACAGACCTTCCACCCAGTAAATCAGGCTGAGCTGCCTCAAATATCAGGGAGGAAAACTAAAAATGCAATTATGTGGCTACACATCATTTCTTACCAGTAAACTACAACAACTTCTTTCATCAGATACAAGGCAATCCCAGTCTCAAACATAAGTGGCAGGTCAAGTATTACAAACTTTTCCCCTACAAAGAATTTGAGAAATACTTTCAGTAGAAGTACAATATTGGGATACAAATTTTGTAGGACATCTTAACTTCCTTTGTGAAAACGTAGTGAAAAATGGGATTTATGAGGGACAGCAATGACTGGGCCTGATTCTAGTGGTTGTCTCAGGTCCATTCTTCTGGGTAGGAGTGCCAGCTCAAACATAAACTGGAAATTGCCCACACTGTAGACAGTCATGGACTGGAGAATAAGTGAACAGAAAAAATAACTCAAAGTGAATTCCCTCATTTCAAGTGTAACACTACATGTACTTGAGACAGAGGCAATGAATCTTGCCATCAGTGTATTCTTGAATTTCAGGGTACCCCCCTGAAAAAAAAATTTTGATGAGTGTTTAACAAGACTTATGAAACTCTAACTTTAAAAAAAACCTGACATTTTATTGTATTCATCTATTAAGAGTCCATTTGCAGGCCAAGTGTCACACTTTATCTTATGTGTACATGCAGTTAGTCTCAGTTTGTGTAGTGCAAAACAATCAATAATGTTGCAGCTGACCCAATTCCATTTACAATAAAGTTCGGATCTAACATGTACTGTCATTGGTGGAAAGAGCATGCTCTATCAGAGTACAAAGCATAGAGCTGAGCTAAAGCTGCCAGGCCATCTACCAAACTGTACTATGTCCAACCTTTTCTGGGAATTCTCTCAAGCCTTTTTTCATTGATTGAATGTTAAATTTCTAAACAAGAGAAGTACGGAGAAACAGAAGACATACTCTTTGTTTCTCACTACACTTCTTTTGTGCTCTAGCTGCTTCCTACATGCTTTACAACAGAAAAGAGCACAATCGAGGCTTCTCTATTTGTTAAGTATGGGAAATAGCAGAGGTTATGAGTCAGTGACACAGTGGCCTAGATTTAAATCCAGACCCTTTGATGTCTGACCTACAAACAAACCATTGGCTAACAATATCTCTCATACAACTAGCAAAGTTTTTAAACTAAAACAAATTACACATAGTTCTTAGATGTCTATCTAGGAAAACATAATTCTGTAAAAAACTTGTACAATGGTGGCTAATAACTGGAAGTCATTGTTGTAAAAGAACAGATCTGAAAGAGGAATATAAATCAGAGCTGATGGCAAGTACATGTAGCTTCTAAATTTTTCAGATTAATTTGGAGGCTTCACCCATAACATCAGTACTCAATTGATATAAATAGAGATCTATGCTAAAACTCATTGACCAACACTCATTGACCATTGAGCATAAGTACAATCATGTTCTTTCAACAACAAAGTAGAATTTTACATCTTTGGTGTTTGTGCAAGTAATGTTTAACTTATATGATTCACAATAACAGGTCTCCCAAAATTACTCAATAACAACCTTGCAAGAAGTAAAAAAATAAACAGACCTGAAAAAAAATTCCTCAACAAGGTCCATAAAATTGAATGATAAATAGCAGGATGAGTGCACTTGTTCAGAATACGTCTTTTGGCATCGTCTCCAAAAATGATTTTTCCAAGTTTCTCCCTGTCAATCTCCTCATTGGAAAGTAAAATATCACTTCCAAAGTTCTTTACTATAGCCTTCCATGCTGGCCTGTGAGGCTCAACAACTAAAAATTGTTGAAGAAAAGTTTGTTACCTTCTCATGAAAAAAAGAACTGACTCACTAGTAAAATCAAGTGTGAATGCAAGGTTGTGAAATAATGAGAAGGTTTAACCCTTTACACCCTAACATCAGTATGCATACTCTCCAGACTGTTCTTTATACAATTCCTGAGGTGCTGACAAGGAGAATTTGTTGGCCAATCAAAGGGTTCCTTCCATAACGGTCACTGGGTGACCATATCCTTAATTCTCATGACCTTACTGTGTGATTCACAAGTGATATTGTTGGAAGAAACAAGATGTTCGTCACTCTTAGGGTTTAAAGGTTTAACTGAATGAGGAGGGGTTGTGAAGGAGATACCTTCCCTGTATATTCCAATAATACTAACCAGGGTCATGGTCCATACGCTAAGTTATGTACCAAGAGGAAAAAACCAAGTTCTACATCTCATTGTACCAACCAAGAAAACAAGGTAATAAAGACATTGATTATATCTCTGGGTTGAAATAGAGGGAGAAGATTTCAATTAAAAAAAAAAACCTTTGAATTAAGGAGGCTATACAATGAAATATTACCAACTAAATTGCCCAGCACATACTCCCATAAAGTTGTTGTTTGATCAGTCCTCGAGCTCGTCAAAATACGGCACAATTCGTAAAAATACTCAAAAACACTACAAACGAAAACGTCTAATAAGATGTATTTATCTCATCTTATCTCCCATTATGGTTTTAAACTATATGTTTAGTGAATTAAATTGCATGCTTTCAATTATCTCACCTTCCCGAGCAATGTGGTCTGCATCCACGACCGGACATCCTAGATCTTTAAGTAGGCTTGAAACTGTGCTTTTACCAGTCGCTATCCCACCTGTTAAGCCAACGATAAACATGGCTCCCAACAAGCAACTGTTAGCTACCTGTTCGTTTGGTATTTATTTCGCCATAATAAATTTGAATTGTCTGGGGTCAACTGGGGCGAGCTGCGACTACCATCACTTATCACCCCTCTTCCCCAGGGGTTTATCTGTTGTCAAGTGACAGTCACATGCATTATACCGTGACAGTACTGCGTGACAGAACAACATGGCGTCCACAACAGGAGGAATTATTCTTGCGATTATCCTTTCAAGCAGTCTTCATGCTACGTTGCAATCTACATGCAGTCATTTTCAAGGACCTCCTCTACCGAACAGGCCCTTTATCACAGTTTGGCATACTCCGACAGAGCTGTGCAAAACGAAATGGAACGTTACTCTTGATTTTAGTGCATTCGATTTCGTAGTGAACCCTGACCAAACGTGGTGTGGAGAGCATATCGTGATATTTTACAACTCACAGCTGGGTTTGTATCCTTATTATGATAGCAATGGGAAAGCAGTGAATGGAGGCCTTCCACAGGTAAATTCATCGCTACAAAAGTACTTTACTTACTTTTTGTCTGGATAACATCTAATTCAGAGTCATATGTAGACGTCGACCTTGGAGCCTGGAAGCTTATAAGTATGTTGTAACTTCGCCGTTAGACTCTTGCTCTTATGCTCCCTCTGAGAAGCCCCCTTTCCTCCCTCCCCTCATCTTTGATCGGTGAGCTCTACACTAGTTACAAATTACGGACTGGTTAGTATATTCGAAAATGGGGTAAAGAAATTTGAGCGTTGCAGGTATATATGCATGACTGACAATAGACTCGGCGAAGCCCCACAATATTTTAATGCAAAAGGGTGAACTTTTGACTGAACGAGCTGAAACGTAAATGCACGCCGAATTCGCCTCAGACTGTTCAAAATTGTGTTTCCCGAGTGCTTAACATGCAAAAATTTCCCGTGGAAGGAAACCTCTGACCCCTTTTCACCCCTGACCGCAGTAGCGCATACAAAAAAGAGTCTTGTATGTTTGATGTGGCTAATATTGAAAAATAAATCTCTTTCCCTGGACGTTTTGATAAATTTCTCAGTAGACCGTTCTGCTTCTTTAAGCTGGCCAACATGACCGCACACCTCACCATGGTTGAAAAAGACATTGCAGAAGTGATAAAAGATCCAGACTTTCAAGGCCTTGGCATAATTGATTGGGAGTTCTGGAGACCAATATTTGACAGAAATTGGGAAAAACTTTCTATCTACAGGTTTGAGTTTGTATAATCATTGTTTGCAAACGTGGGGGATGTTATGACAAAATGGCTCACAACAAGTTCTGCTAAGCTAGACAAGGATAACTACCACTCAATTTCAAACTAAGCATGCGTGTTATGTTTAATTGTTTTCGTGTGTTTCTTTGTTGGTGTTTGTACTTATAATCCATGAAATATTTTTGCTCGCGCGTTATAAGTCTAAATGCATCACGTAATCGAATATGCCCTAGCTAAAACTGGGGAATATCCAAAGAGATACTCCAAATGATATTCCTCAATTTTCAAACCTTACGTCTACTAGATGAAAGCGTTCATTTCAAATTTAATTCAAGATGAAGGAACATTTAGCTATTGTTACACGAGAAGGAAAATGATTGCTTGTTTTTAAAGTCGTACCAGAGAAAGCTGAAATGTAAACATTCCACGAGCAAACTGTAAGCTTATCGTAAAAATTTTACAATTGGCGCGAAAATGTGTTCGTAGATTTGTCCCTGGACGCTATATGCTCCTAGAGGCTCACAGTTCTCCTCGAGCTTCGTAGCTGTTCTGACTAAGGCTTTGTTTGCAGAAATAAGTCAATAAAGGTCGTCAAAGAAAGACATCCTTCGTGGTCAGACAGTCTTATTGAAGAAATAGCCCGTGTAGAATTTGAAACTGCAGCTCAACAGTTTATTGAAGGCACCTTACTGCTCGCTCAAAAACTTCGTCCGAAGTCTGCTTGGGGTTTATACGGCTTCCCAAATTGTTACAACGACAATGACGCAAAACCTTACACCTGTAGTAAACAGACTATGCAGATGAACGATCAACTCTGGTGGATGTTTGAGTCTAGTTCAGCATTGTTTCCTTCAATTTACCTTTACAATGACAAGTCCCGAAATAACACGCTATATGTGAAGTATAGATTATTAGAAGGCTTTAGACACTCAAAGAAACTAGATGGTCATTTCATTCCTGTCTATCCTTACGTTCGCATAACCTATCCAGATTCGCAGCTATACCTTAATGAGGTGAGTAATACCCCTTTTTCGTTGTTCTTGTTTTTTTTTTCTCTTACCAACGACTGAAGATCTCACGCATTCAGAAGTGAAAATATTACGTTGAGGACCTCGAAGATGAACGTGATTTCAATGTCTTTACTAGTGTAACCTTAGGTTGAGGAATGTATTATTTTCCATTAAGGGCGTTTCTGGAGGGAGAAAGGGGAAGTAGCGAAGGGGCTTTGACTTTCTCCCTATTTTTGGCTTCTTTTGGAGTGAATACCAATGCGGCGTTTTTGTAAAAAAGGCGAGGTCGTGCCCTTACCTTAATATAACAGTTTGTTCTTTCTAAATTGTGAGGATTCGTTCAGTGGAAAGAGCATGAAAGTGGTATTTGGAAAATTGCAAAAAGACCTCGTAAAACGTAGGGTTATAGGGAGATTGTTTGCATTTTGCCGCAACCGAAAATCCATCAGGTTAAATTCGTTGCATTTTATGTATTTGTCTGTTTTCATATGAGGTGACAGGCGAGAAGAATGGATTAGCCTTTACTTCATTTGCCAGGCGGCCGTACTTACCCCGGTTAGCGAGACAAGATGAATAACATGTATTCTTTAATATGTCATTCGAGTATCGAGATAATGCTTACATATAAGAAAGTTTAATGTCCAGTCACCCCCACCATTTCATGCGATACACTAAATTGTTGGCACATAAAAGGGTGATGAAAGTAGATCTCGAAAACTGAGCCAGACCGTTTGAATCGCAGGCTCAAATGAGCAAAGCCTAAGTTTTTCAAGCGTTCTACGTTTACTTGTCAATCTCCTTTGTGCGACAGGCCGATATTGTGGCAACAATTAGCCAGTCAGCGGAGCAAGGAGTCGCCGGCGTTGTTATATGGGGAGACCATCTGACAGAGAGGACAAAAACCGACTGTTTAGAGATTAAGACCTACATTGATAATTTTCTGGGACCAGTAATTAGAAACCTCACCACAATCACTCAAGCCTGCAGCCAAGAGTTCTGCAACTCCCATGGAAGGTGTACCTTCCAGCTGAAACCTGTTGAGGGTATTCACTCCTCATTTCATGAATTTGCAAAGGATTTGACAGATCAGTGGAAATTTCAGAGCTGCAAATGTTACAATGGATGGAGTGGGGCGAACTGTGACCATCAAAATTAGAGCCCGACTCGAACTTACCACTGAATATTTTATATTTCATTTTGCACAAATTTTGGTATATTTAAACAGTATTCACGCAATCTCATGCGCTGATTTTGATGACCAGTTTTGCTACGAACGCTTTCACTCTCAAATTCTACACTAGTGGGGACGGACCATCAGAAAAGCTAGGATGGAAGTGGGGGAAGCCGGGGGTACTCTGTTGATAAGTGATCTTTTTAGACGAAAGCACTTGCAGGTTAACTCTTGGTCCTATACGATAATTAATCGTAGTTATCGTTCGTTTAAGTGACAAGTCCCCCTTTTACGCTTCAAGTGTTATTAAGTGAATTCGCAAACAGGTCATCCATTGACAGAGTTCGCAAGATGATTGACGGCTTCATGAAACGAAATAATTTTTTAATCCAAAGTTTGCGCGTTATCTAAATGCGCGATACGGTTATAGTATGGTCTTCCCATGGACATTTCACTTTTGCAACGTGCACGGCATAACGCACCAGAACGTAGTTGAGTTTGATTGACACTGCACATGGTGAAGTCATGCATGTCGCTTTTTTGGGAGAGTTCGTTTTTTTTCCCAAGAGAAGGTGTGGGAGAATAAAGAACGGTTGTGTTTATGGAAAGAAAGCCTGTGATTGTGATTTTGCGATACTAAACTTCTATTGCCACAGAGGCATTCCCGAAAACTGTTTTGTTGAGAAGAGTTTAGGTACTGTTTATATTGCAGGCCGCGCACAAACAGAAATGATAATGATAGTAACAAAGATCCATTAACTGCGTCGAGTTACTTAAAAAATGGACTATAATAAGTACAGCTTTAGATTTCTTCAGGTGCACAGTTGACGCTAATGTGAGAAGTCTGTTCAGTGAACAAGCCAGAATTTCTCCTCACAATATCGATACACTAGCAAGCAGATAAGTGATGAGAATTAAAAAAAAATATCAATTAGGGGATTATTAGTTGATCCAATACCAACTTCTCCGGACAAATATCATGAGAATTTTATTGCAGACAGTAAGGAGAAGTACTATTTAGATCTTGGGGGTCACTGGGCAATGGTTTTAAAAAGGGTTTGTTTGATTTGCTTGTTCAGTATTTGCAGTGTGGCTTTCCAACAAATTATTTTTTGTTTCAAACTTTTTGTAGAATAAGAAAATAAGAATTCATTCTACATTTATTTACGATTTCTACATTGTTCTCTCATTTTTCTTGCGTCACGCGCGACTGTTCGAATCAAACATCCACCACTGACTATGGACGGTTGCAAAATAATAGCTTCTGACTAACTGAGCGCGTGGGCCGTGCAGTGGAAATTTTTTGCCCGAGGTCGTTGACCAAAACGACCGAGAGCCAATATTCTTCGGTTCGACTCGAGCGAGGGATGTTAGTTAGTAGTTCATTGTGTCACTCGGACTAAACTTGTTTAATTTGAATTTGCAGGATTACGTGACCAAACATACACGGCTATGACCGTTTCTCTAGATCTGCACATGTATCTTACCGAAGAGCTTTACCAAAATTACAATATGGTCGACTTCAACCTCCTGATGTAGTTGCTATTTTTGTTTTAAAGCAAAAGAAACATTTTCTCAACGCGAGCTTCTTTTATTGTGGGTTTTTTGTGTCGAGAGTTAAAGTAGCAATCTGCAAGGTAAGTTCATTCGACAAGCAGGTAGTATCTACATTCGGTGCAATTAAAAAGAGTTCCAAAATTGCCTCTCAAATTCCTCATTAACATATATAGGAAGTAAAGCAATAATTTTCGCAGGTGAGAAGCAATTACAGCAACTGTAGAAAAGAAGCATGAAATAATTCAAGCTTCAACTAGTGCTGCGCGGGAAACACGGCTTTGTATCCTGTAGAGGCCTGAATTTTTTCAGCCTTCTTTCCTGCAATTACTAAAATCACAGTTCACCTGCTTTACTTGATTTTCATCCGCAGGTCAAATGAAATTTAATTTAATTGAAAAAATTATGATCAACACTCGTATGATAAACAGGAAATTACATGTCCACTTGTGCACGCAACTCTATCATTTCGTGTTGATATCATCGCTTATAAAATTCGTATCCACTGGTGGCAATGTGATATCAGCCGTATTTCTAAATAGATATTTTGAAATACCAGAATTTCTTCTGTTTGGAAAACATGTCATCTTCGCCGCGTGTACCGAACGTATTAATTATATCATCACGTGTGAAGATGGCAATTTCGTCATACTAAACAGTCGTCATATTTTTTGTGGAATAATTATTAACATTACTAAGAATGAAGGAAAATATTTGTTGAATTCTCTTGCTTTACTTTACGTCGGACGTTGAAGCTTTTCTGCGATCTCAATTAAAATGCAGGTGATCTCTGTATTTGTGTTTTTCAGTTTTTAATTGTCTCAGACTTAAAACATGTGACTGAAGCAAACACTATAAATAAAAAGTTACATGGCTGTTTATAGATATGAATTTTTATTTTTTTTCTGAAGCCTCTCAGCGGGCCGGAATCTTTAATCCTTGATCCGGTTACGTTGGCTAATCGCGAACTAGTAACCGGCTGCGACCAGCTTTTTAGAGTATGCACCTCGGTTCAAAATTCTTTCCGCAAAATTCGTGGCAAAGGAGAAAAAATCAACATCGGCAGAAAAGTAGAAGAGTTACTTGGCATTTTTAGTCAGTCCTTATGGGAAATTCAGAGCCCTTGGTCTTGAGTTCAGCCCTTGGCCGAGACTTCAGGCACTGCTTTTACCCATACAGACCCCCTGCCCATTAAATAACATATATTTATTTTATTTATCTTCTCGTGTCAATAGTTATAGCTTCCTTCTGTTGCCTCCCCCACTTGGGAGAGACAATGATCTATTATAAAGAGAAATTTCAGTTTTCACCTTTAAATTCGGGAGAAACGTGAGCACCAAAAGTTTCTCTGACAAGAAAGTCAAAATTGACGCTTTACTGATATCACAAACCATATTTAACTTCTCAAGAACCAACACAGAAGTGAGACATCTCTAGGGTGTTACTTCGGTAACACTGAAAGTATTTGGGACATTAAATAGACTGTGAATAGCTAGCCTGATGATATCACGTTCAAGTTATATTTCAAGTTTAGTTCAATATTTTGGAAAAGGCATGGCAAAAAGTATCGCCCATAAAGTCCAACGTGCTTGGGTTTGCCAGAGGGAAAATAATTTTATCGCCAAGCGCTATATCTCCGCATCAAGAACGTGTTGTGTTAGAGTAAATCGCTGCTTGGTTTTTGTCAACGAAATAAAACTATGAAAGTGCCACCAGCCTTCTGTAGGGTCTCGATGAGGTGATGGCTTTTATGGCTAACTGTTAATTTTTTGGCCAATTTACGGCTAACGGTTCACATTTTTCGATTGTGGTCATCAGAAATCTTTTTTTGCGTTTAATTTTTTTTTACGACTAATGGTTAAAAATGTGTCGATTTTTTCCCCTAACCGCTAATTTTTTTTACCGTTTTACGGCCATCGGTTGACCCAATTAAGCCCCTCTTTCTGACATCAAATATTTTGGAAAGCCTCAGCAATGTCCCTCTGATTCATTTTCACACAATGCAGAGAAAAAAAGCTCTTTTTTTCTGTACTGTTAGACGGTGGCCACAAATTGAATCCTTCTTGATAAAACCTTCCCAGGCCTGCTGATGTTCTCTTTGTCATCAAAAGCTGTTATAGATGAGATGGCCCCAACTTTGCCCCCACTTGAGTCTTTCCTCAAAAACCGCTTGCATAGTGGTAATGAACTTCTAAGACTGGAGCGGAATTTCTTAAACAGTAAGAAGTAAATAAGTGGGTTGTAACACGGGGCTGTTTTAGCAAAAAGAGCAGGTAAGGTGGCCACCAAGGGAGATATAGCAGGCTCCGGTGCTCGTATGATGGCATAAAGCGATACAGCGGCATACGGTGTCCATGCGAATAAGAAACAAAATGACATAATGCATGCCATTCGAGCGGTTCTTGATTCTGCTAAAATAATGTCTAAAGTTGGAGCAGCGCACTCTCCCCAAATATTATGCGCAGTTTGAGTCATTCTTTTCACGTTGCGATAGATAGAGCAGTATGAGGCAACGATGGTAATAAAAGGAGCTAGGAAGAAAAGAACGAAGATGCACCAAATGTAAGCAACAGCACTTGGATCAGAACTTTGCCAGTCAATCGAGCAAACCGAGCGTCCTCCCTCAGGGGCATACCCTGACCAGCCAATCAGAGGCAAGCTGCTCCAGATTAGCGCAAACAACCAAAGTCCAACAATGATGTATTTTAACTTGTTGAAAATGGAAAATGAAAAAGAAAACTTAATTACAATGGCGCGCTCGATGGCGAAAGTGGCATGGTGTAGCATTGTGCCAAAGGATAAAAACGTCACAATGAAGCCGTAACACGAACAGGTCGTTCCAGTAGTTTGCCAACTTTTTGATAAAATGCCAACAACCCCCAACGGATATGCTACCACTGCTTGTATCCAGTCGCCAATAGCTATGCTAAGAATAAGAATGTTTGAGTGCGAGCGAAGGGAGCTGTCCTTCGTGAATACAACAAGCACAAGAGTATTAAAAATGAATGCTATCACAGCGAGGATAACATACACGCTGGCAATTGCGTAATAGACCTGTTCACCAAGTTCTTCTGTTGCTTGTGAATCCTCAGTCCTATTTCTGAAATTAGGAATCACTTTTTCTGTTGGAAGGTTCATGATGTGTCGTACCTAGAAAGGAAGACAGAAACTTGAAGTATAAATTCACTGCTTCATATATTCGTCTTGCGTTCATCAATACTTACACTTAATACTGCCCAAAGACCCTCCTAAGAAAAGGGCAAACAAAATCTTGCATTCGTGTGTATATTCGAAAGGGGATTCCGTGGCAAGAAAGAATTTTCATCTATTTGGTAACTCTGAAAAAGTAGACCTTAATTGAAATATGGTGACATTAGGAAGAAACTTGGAAAACTAATTCAATGCTCTAAATATGCAAAAAAGATATTAATTCAAATGGTAACTACGCTAAGGGAGATCTTACTTAAATATGGTAACTATGAAAAATAAAATATATATGACTAACTTCTGACTATTTAAATTACCATACCATCTTCATATGTGTAGACGTTTGTTTAAACTGATTTGTATATATCCCAACGAGACTAACATGTCGATGATCAACAGGGTAAATTAGTATTATCACAGTGAATTTATAACGTAACTTAGACACCGTTAAGAGTCTAAAAACTGACGTTTCGAGTGTTAGCCCTTCGTCAGAGCGATTGAAGAAATTGTGGGTTGTGTGTGTGTTTATATGTGGAAAATGGAGCTACGCTATCGGTGAGACGAGAAAACAAGAATAAATTAGAAATAAGAGAGATGGCAGAGCAATAAATTAATTGAATGAAAAGCGCTCGTTGTTAGGGAAAGGCCGCAAACCGCCATGCGCTGCTGAGAATGTTTAGGGAAATAAAAGTGTCTAGCGACTGGTTTGGATGCGTCCTTGTCATTTCTTTCTACATCGCGAAGGTGTTCTCGGGTCGGTCACTTAGTTGTCTTCCTGTTTCACTAATGCATAACTTTTACATTAAGAGCAAACTATGCAGTAGATGACATTGGTGGAGGAGCGCGAACGGTATTTCCCTTCTCAGTCGTTTGTTGTGCTGACTATAGATCAATTTGTTGGGCGCGGTGGTG